ATTTCCAATGGCTTATTAACAAAATATTGACACAATGTGGGACTATTGAGCATCCCCTGTGGGAGGACAGTCCATTGATAACTCCTAGTAGGCTGAGAATTATTATAAGTAGGCACTGTGAAGGCAAATTTTTCTCTATCCTTTTCTTGCAAAGGTATAGTGAAAAAACAATCTTTCAAATCAATAACTATAAGAGGCCATCCTCTTGGTAATAGAGAAGGCAAAGGAATCCCAGATTGTAGCGGACCCATAGGCTGAATTACCTTGTTGACAGCTCTTAGATCTGTCACCATTCTCCATTTACCAGATTTCTTTTTTACAACAAACACAGGAGAATTCCAAGGGCTGGTTGATTCTTCAATATGGTTAGCATCTAGTTGCTCTTGTACCAGCTGCTCCAAAGCCTGTAATTTATCTTCAGCTAGAGGCCACTGCTTGATCCATATTGGCTTCTCAGTTAGCCATTTTAAAGGTAGGGCTGTTGGTACCTCTAAAGGTTTGCTATTGGCTGTATGTTCTTGTACAGCGTGAATGGCTGGTGACCTTTTTCCACAATACCTCATTATATCCTTCCCAGAATTGTGGTGTCCTTTGTGGTAACGTCTGAACGTCAAATTCAACAGCCTGAACCCTTTCGGGTAACTTCCTAGTACCCTTGGACATGGAGTCAATTTTGTCTATCATAGTATCCACTTGTTCAGATAACCCCTGATTTTCAGTAATTTTAATCCTTTCAACTAGTTGTTCATTATTAGTCCGTAAAAATCGTATCTTTCTTAATGATAAAATATTGAAAAGAAAGCTGAAACCTAGTAACAAGTAAATTAATATATCCCCATAGTCATATAAACCTTGCATGACATAATACATTGTATTAATAAAGAAAACAGTAAAATTGGCGTTGGAAACAAAACTGCCATATTACCTCTTGTCTAGTTGGCGGCGCTGTTGCCAAGTCGTGACTAGAACCACTGCAAAGGTGACGGAAACGGGTCCTGTTTCAGTGTCTGCCTTAGTATTTGTTAAAAACTAGGAAATATAAGTTGCTCAACAAAAAAAAATGTAATTAAATCAATTCCATACACGGAACCAGAAAACCAGAATCCAGGGGTAGAAAAGAGCAACCTGGAAGCCACGTATGCCTCCACGTGACTTCTGATTCACACCACTAAAGCGCTGCACTTCCAAGGGGAATTTAAAAACAACTCAGAAAAGAGCAAACCAGGCTTGCAGAGATTGTCCCGAGCCTGTGGAGCTTGGGAGGCGTGGGGTTTAATTGAACTGCTGGCTCCACACACAGGGCACAGGCCGCAGCTGAGGGAGGTCTCGTGACTAGCCGAGCTGGCAGCAAGCAGTTGAGTGGGGGGGGGGG